CATGTAATGCACATATCTGGTAGCTTCAGAGTTGTTTGTTCCTTCCACACAAGCATTCGGAAGTCCTGGGGAAGAGGAAACCACAAATACTCCTTCTGAGGGAAATGAAATAATTGCCTATTTGCATAACAAAGTGATATTAGCAAAATCTGTGCAGCATGTGAAGGCCAATCCTGCACTTGTGCTCATTAGCTGCCTGGGTTCCAGGCTTTCCAGAGTTTACTCACCAAGGCAAGCTCCGCTGCTGTGGCTCCTACAGCCAGTTCCTCTCACCGTCGCTGCGGGGTATCCTGTGCAGCTTCGCCTCAGCCCTCGGTGCCGTCTCTTTGCTTCCGTGTATTCTGCTCCAACAGTAGGGCTCCTGCCACCGAATTCTTGATCAGTGGGAGAACTCTGGCTCTCAGCAGCATGTGTGCAGCCCCACCAAGTCAACCCCGCTCTTGTACTAGATCCATAACCTCCAAATGCTGCCCTCCCCTAAAACATCACTCCAGAGCAGCCTTGCCTCTGCTTGCTGGATTTGGTCTTTTGATCCAGGCAGAATCCACTGCTGTCAGCGCCCAATGACTTGCTTTTCCCTCTCCAAATCATTCCGTTGTACCCTTTATAATACACACATTCCCATGCACAGTTCATAAAGTTGAAAACTAGCACAAGAGAATGCTAGACCGCACATCAGCAAGCAGCACTCGGAACTGCACTGCGCGCATTGCACCACATGGAGCTAGCTCTCCCCGTTCCTTTACCGGGGAATAAAGCTGTGTCCCGTCCCTTTAAACCTCCTTCCTCTTGGTCTTATAAATGTGTACAGAAAATAAGTCTTTTGCTAGAAGTGCAGCTTCTTTAAACTTTTAGCAAGCTACCCCTGTGCACAGCCATTATATATACACACATATATCCATTATGCTTGCTTTTGTATGCTTACTAGGCTGGGTGTTTGCTCAGGTGGCCAGCATCAGCCTTCCCGTTGGAGGTTCCTTCCCAGAATAATTTCTTCTCTAGGGCCTGGGGATCACATGTTTCTCTCATCACAGAGAACCTCTGCTGTGGGATCTGTAATAACTCTGCTTGGAGTTGAGCTGAAATAAAACATGCCTCAAGCGAACAATAGCCAAATAACAAGAGTGATGTTTTTTCTTCTTGTAAAGAGCATGTACTGCACACAGGGCTAATCTGCATGGCTTCAGTACATTCAGCACCTGTGTTTTTGTTTTCTTTGCAGTGGGAACAGTGGCTTGGCCTGCACTGCTTGTCCCTGCCTGCCTTGCAGAGAATTGCCCAAAGGTTTTATTCATTTTTAATCTGATTTCTTCCCTGTATGTGAAGAGTTGGAGTTAAGGGAGGATTTTCCCCCACAACCTCTTTCACTGATGGCCAAAAGGAGAACTCTTAATGACCGTGTTGTATGCTGCTTGGAGGTCTCGCTGGTCTTTATGTCAGAGGTCAGTTAATAAGGTGCCACCTCTGCTTCCTTCAATCAGCCTTAAAGACACGCTTGGATTTGCAAAGCTGCTGCTGGAATCATGAACGTGAGAGCACATGGAGCGCTGCGCTTTCTGAGCAGACACCTTATTATATAACTATCACATTCAAATCTAGGCTTAACTATCACCATTGCTTTGGGTTGCTCATGCAGCTGGCCATTCACAAAACCACCATAAAATCACATTGATCTCATCAGAGTTTCATTTCATGCAACAGAAGGAAAGATTCCTAACAATGTCCTGAAGCATCCTGTTATGATAGTTTAAGAACAAAGAACTTCAGTTTTTGGTGTAAAATGACTTTTCAAAGCATTGTATTTTGTATTAAATAATAATTCTTCCTGTGATTCTGTCTGTGGCTCAGGATGGAGCTGTTCACCACCCATCTCATGTTGTTTTTTAGCTTCACTCTATTATCCAAAATAACAACAACAACAACAAATGTTCTGAACCTGTAAGCAAGACCAAAGATCCAGACTCCACATAAAAGGAACAAAACTATGATTTTGGCAAGGGAGGTAAAGAAAAATACAAGAATCCAAAACATATTCAGGCTAAAATCTGTAGACCTTAACTCATTTATGCAGTTTAAACATGTTTGGGGAAAACAAAACAAAAGAAAAAACACGTCATGGTGGTATAAAATCTAGAGTTTCAGAGATGCTTTGCAAACATGCACTTTCTCATCAGTGCATAAAATCGCCTGTCTTAGGGCTATGCACTGTTTTACATCTGGAGTAAACATCATGATCAGCAATCATACACGGTCCCTTCTCAGACGGGAGATGTTTCCGATCCCAGGCAATAATTTCAAGTTGGACAGTTTGTATTTGTCTCTGCCTAAAAGTCGCAGAGTACAGGAGAGTATTCAGGGGGCTTTCCTATGGTTATCAATTCTTGGAAAGCTTTCCTCTTGATTACCATCCATGTGGCATGTCCCCTCTGTACCTACACAGGGCAGAACAGTGGCAGGATGTTAGGAAAAACATCATTGTCATTGCTAGCATGGGGTGAAATACAAGATAACAGAATTTTTATCCCTGTAGGCACTATCCTGTCTGGTTAGGATAACAAACCTTTTCTGTAAAATATAAGGCAGATCATGGAAGTGTTTGGGGGCAGATTTTCAAGAGCTCACCACTTAAAAAAGTGGTTGAATTTTCTTCCACTCAGGATTGTCAAAGGGCTACGACATATCACTTTTGAACTTTCATTAACCATATCCTCTGCTCCTACGTTTTGAAGAGACAGGACACCAGGAGGTTAGCTCACAGGTGAGGGAATTTTACAGGAGGGAATTTCAAAGATTAATCCTTTAAGTTCAATGAATACAACTACTTCATTGCATGTACTTCAGTTCAGAAAAATAAACAACCTCTTATCTAAAAAGAGGATTGCAGCTCTAGTCTAAAATTGCATGAAATGAGAACCCTAAAGGCGGCCACCACCAACTGCAAAAGATGAGACCACTGTACAGCCTTCCAGTCGCCTGCATTTACAGACATAAAGTGCACTGGTGCTTTCACTGATAATGACATGGAAACATGTAAAGTCCACTTGAATCCAGATTTCCTTCCATTTTCCTAGAAGTGCAGACTTCTTTCTTTCTTTTTTCTTTTAATTTAATTATTATGACTTTGAGATTATGTTCTCCACATTCCAGAAACCATTTTCCTTTTTTTTTTTAAAAAAAATATTTCTTTAAGATCCGATTAGATTGAGAAAGAATAATGACAATTCAGTGGTTCAGTGGAAGGAAACATATCTTTCATACTCCTACTATTGTCCTTCCTTACCAACCTTCCAATTCAAACACAAAAATCCAGTTTTCAAATGAAATGCAAGAAACCTTTTACGTTTAGTACAGTTATATGAAGAAAGGAAAACACGGAGAAGCAGCAATGTCAAGAGAAATCTGTCCCAAGAACACAAGGCCTTCCTTTGCTCTGCAGAAGAACCTTTCTAACTCATGGGGCTGCAACATCGAAGAGTTGCTATGGCCTGGGCCTTGGTTCTTTCTCTTCACAGCCCTGGGAAGAGGCACAAGTTGTCTTGGCCTGTTTGTTTTCGATGCCCGCTTGGTAGTTTCCCCCGCTTTGCCGGGCCCTGTCCGCAGGCCCCGGGCAGGCCTCCCGTTGGCATTTGCCGGGCCTACACTAGAGGGCTCTGCCGGCCTAGCTATGGAGGCCAAGCCTCGGCTTGGCGACGAGGCCTACCCCGCGGCCGCGCGCTGCCATGCTCTGCTCTGCGCTTCAGGGATGAGCAGAGGAACCTCCACTTTGCATGTGTGCTGCTTACATTGCAGGGTCCTGCGGGGTTAAGTCCGATGTACAACAGCAAGAGGTTAGAGTGAAAGATTTTATTGTATTTTGGAAATGGCAGAACTGCGCAACATTGAAAGCTCTATGGGAAAGAAAATGAGCCTTCTAAGTCTCTTTCCCAAATCGTTGCAGCTTTGAAGTACCAACTTTCACTTTGTAATTGTTGGAACACTCCCTCTCGTTGCACTGAAGGCATCTTTCATGCGCCAACTGCTAAGGCCGAGGCGCTCAGCCTTTTCCAAAGGGTACATGCTTGTGATGAGGCTGGTAGATAAAGCCCACCCTATGGTAAGCCTAGCAGCACTGCTGCCCTCCTTTCCCTGAGTTCCCTCCCTTGTCCTTTTCACAAATTCATAGTTTTAAGGTCAGAGGAGACCATTACATTCATCCACTCACTTAATCAGGTCCAGGGAATTTTATTCAGCCCTTTTCAGCCTTTGTTTACGCTGCTTCTACCCCACATACTTCTTTTCTCTGTAATTATCATTATTCTTTGTTTTCTCCTAATTCTGTGCTGCTTAGTTTCGTGCCATCTTCCTGTTCTCCACCAAGCAGACAGCTACGTTGGTGGTTCTACCAGCTGGATCATGTAAGTACGGGCAACGTACCCAAGTGCCCTGGGAATGGAAGAGAGTCCCCCTTGGGCCATTGCGTTGCTGCCTGAACTTCTGGCAAGCTGGTACTAGAACAGCTGCAAGAGCAGGAATAGATGAAAAGTGGCCTTCAAGGAATCACTACTGCCATCAGAGTGCTGCAAATTTCTTTACAGTTACCAGTCTCTATGGTGACTTCTTGGGCCCCCCTGTGAACGGCTTGGTCCATATTAAATGGGATTATTTCCTCCACAGAGGCCTAGGTCTCCCTGAAAGGAGTCTCCCAGGAATAATTTAGAACATTTTGTTGCTGGGAAATTACACGAGTGTAGTTTCTGCTTTACTCCAGGAAAGAATGCAGCCTCTCACATGTAGCTGGCATCCTGCTGGATGACTAGTAGTGAAAAAATTTGGGACCAAAACATCTCTTCCCCCCTACGTGCCTTTGCAGAATTCACATACCCTGTGGACTTCAGAGAGGGCAGTCAAAGGACGCTGATACATCCTGCATATCAATGTGAGGACTTCCAATTCACCTCCCTCAAGAAGCCAGGTAAATACAACTCCAAAGTGGTCTGAAAATCCACTCTTTCAACTGTTTATTCTTCTTCTAGATGGCATTAAGGTAACTAAACAAGTAGTTGGGAGAACAGCCACAAAGATGGACCTTATGCCCCTCTTCTGAGGATGTGGTCATAGATAACAACATGGAGGTAGAGATCTGTTTCAATAGGTGTCCGTGTTGTGTTGTCTCCTGGGTAGGTCTGAAACACAGAATATTACACATCCTCAGGCAGGAGACACAAGGCATGGTTTTGAATTTCATGAATCTTCTTTCAACAGAATCTCCCTTGCAACAGAAATTTGGACTGACTCCTCTTGATGGCTGGTCTTTCTCAAATGTCTGAACACCAGATCCTTTATAATTTCTCTGCTTTTAGCAGAAGGAAAGACAGTGACACAGTAGTTGTAGCTAAACACAGCTAGGAAAATCTGGACTATCAACTGGTCAAAGAGAAAGTCCAATTGCAAAGACCAGGACCGAGTCTATTAAGGATGAAACCACTGTGCGAAGTCAAGTTGATTTCAGTTTGGCCCACAGCGAGCACTTCTGAAAAGCTGTTTCTGCATCAGTGTTACAGAAAAAAAGAGAGCTAGGTGATCTCAGAGACCCACGTGCCTGGGCCCTGAAACCTGCAGGGAGACCAAATGTCCACACAGCAACGTTTTTTGATACAGCTCTCAGCATGTAAGATCTTTCACATAGATGCTAGAGCTGGTTGTTTGTTACAGATGTTCTGCAGCTGTAGGAAGTTAGATTGGTGGCCCACATTCAGTGCAACCCAACACATTTTTAGATATGCATTTTTGAATTTCTAACAAACCAATACACTTATTTTGAAATACATATAATTTGATATTTTGTACTGTTGCTATTCATATGTGACCATCTTTCATGGCAAATACATCAAAGAAACCATCATCCTAGATCTGTTCAGCACAAACCCAAACAAATTATTGCCCAGCTTACTTCATGTTGGTTTTGCAAGTAACCAAAGCCTGGGCGTGTTTGTCACATTCAATCTATAGTCCAAGGACTTTAGTTCTATAGTTTTTAAAAGTGCAGTTAGCACTAAAGGAACAGTCAGTTTCTTATGCAGGGCAACTGTTTATAAGATTCCTGCTCATTTAGTTCTCAAACAAAAGGCATATGTGGAAATTCAAGCAACTTTCAACTATGGCTGGAAATCGGATGCCAAGGTGACTCTGGTGTGGGCCTCCATTTGCTTTCTGTGGATTCAACTGCTTTGTAAATCTAAACTACAATTACTTAAACAGCAGCGGGCAAAGTCTGAAATAAATTACCCAGATCAATCAACTTCAGCAATAACGGAGTCATACCCATTTTTAAGAGAAAGGATTTAGGAAATTTGTGCTGACAACAGCATTTCTATAACATTATCTATGTCTACAATATTCGCCCTGCATGTAGCATTACTGAGGCAGAAGCATTTTCCTTTTTTGTTCTTTTTAATCCAACGGTAAATCCTTCCAAATGATTTGCTTTGCAGGTCTCCACAAGAACAGGCATCTAATGTCAAAATTCTGTATGGGACAGGGTTTAAACAGGAGTTTGACCCCTATGCCATAGTGACAATCTCAATATACTGCATAACCAATTGACCTTAGTAGGGCTGCCTATCTCAGGACTTCTCAAGTATTTTGCATTAAGGAGGAAAAATGGAATAATCTTCTTAGAATTATCTTTAGGTTTCACTCCATTTAACTGGAGCAAATCTGAAGGCAAGTGAAAGTCTTATACAATTAGCAAAACTATTGCTCTGTTTTTTCAGAGGGATGGAGAATCAGCACGTTGGTACTCGTGGACTTCACAGAGTCAATAAAACCAAGTAGCATTGTCATGGCAAAGTCACACTGCATTCCCCCTTTCGAAAGGCTGTGTGACGGTGACAGCACTCGTCCTGCTGGCTGTGCAGGTGCCAAAGTGCTGGGACGGAAGAAGGGCCACCCTTCACATGCACGAGTCCATCGTGCTTTATGGATTTGCCTGTGTCTGGCACCCGGCAAATTACATTTCTTGCACTTTGTTTCAAAACAACCTCATATTCCTTTATTTTTATCCACCTGCAGGCATATTTCATAATAGGAAACTTGTTTTTTTAAGAGCAAATAAAACACTAGCCCCAGGATGGATTTACAACATACTAACAACTTTTCATCTTAGCAAGAGGCACATGTAGCATCATCTGAATAGAACATACTGTCTTGCCACACCAGATGCACCTGCTCTTATATTGCCAGCCCATTACCCCTGTAGGTCTCCCATTTCTCGATCCACAGTACTTGTAGCCAGTCCTGCTTTCCTCCTCAGTCTGTTCGCTCTCCTGAGCTTCCCTTTCCTTTGCACTTGTAGCCAGTGCAGTTAATAGGATACAGACTCATGCTGAATCCTGTCCTAGCAAGACAGACAACATTTTCTAATTTTGTCTGGAAGGTTTAGAAAAGCAGGGGAAGGAAAGGAGAGAAGTCCTGCTTTGGAGATCTTTCAGTTTTATCAGTCAGATCAACTTTTGACTGCTGTCTTCACAAGAGAAAGGCCTGATATTCCAAAGGTATAAAACAATAAACAAGGTAAGCTAAGTTCATCCCGACAGGGATCATAGTAATTTGGTTAACAAGGGGAACAGTATGACTGAGTAAGCCTGAAACATGAGGTGCATATTGAAAAACACAGTATTTGCAATCAGATTTAACCGCTTAGCAGTCTAACTCCATTGCATAAAGGAAACCCAGAATATTGCAGAAAAGGCATTTACCTTTGGATCCACATTTATTATTTTCCTATCACTTTTGTTCTTGAAGAGTAATCCACAGGCATTTTCTGCAATCACTTGGTAGTTTGGGCTGGAATTTGAAGTGCTGACATTTCTATCCCAGTTGTAAAAGCTGCAAAAACGTGAAACAGAAATACTGTACTTTTAGCAGATGTCAGTCTTCCATCTTAAGGAGCAAATTCTGACCTACTTATTCACGTTGAGTAGTTCCTGATTACACAGGAGTCCCTCTGAAAGCAAAACACATTTACTGAGGAGCAGAAGTCTACTAAATATTAGAAAATATGTCCAAATGTGGTCCTACATATCTAGTCTCTGGCAAACTAAAACTGAGGCCCCTACTTGACTTCTCATCTATTCAGTTCTAGTGTTACTAAAAGATTCAGAGCCTAGGTTATAACTAGCGGGAAGTGGTGATGCTTTAGAATTACTACTGTGACGGAAACAGCTCTGGAGACCACCTGAAAGTGCTTCCCAGGCCACCACCGATCTGCAAACCAGATGTTAGAGCCAACAGTTTCCCCTTGGATCGCAATGCAACTCTCTTGCTGCCTTACTGTTTTCCTTTCCCTTGTTTTTAATGTAATTCTGGTATTAAAGTTTTTGGATGTCTCCTCACGGGCCAGACATAGGAGGGAGGGGTTGAACTTCAGTTCCCCAAAGAAAATCCCGGCTCCCCGAAGAGCCGGAGGTGGCAGCTGGTGATTAGTTCTGCAGCTCCATCAGGCTGACCGCGTTTGCAGGTTTCTGAAACGTCTCGGAGCTAAACGCCACATCAGAAGGAATCATCAGCCCGCTATGTCAATACCAAATGCACACAAGAGGATTGCAGCAATTTATCCATCTTCCTTCTAGCCCGGAGGTGTTGGAATTCCAAAGGAATTCTCAAACATTTCTCAAACAGCTGGCCTCAGCCATTTTGGGTTTTGTACTCTCGCACGCTCCTTGTTAGTATTTGTTTGGGAACCTTTGCTGCTCAGACATAACTGCAAATTGCATGACACGATGGCACTGCCACATGGACCTCCGTGGGGTACTCACGTGGTCATTGAAGCGGTCCACTGCACTTCTGCTTCTTTTCAGATGTATTTTTGGTAAAAGGATAACAAAGCAGAAAGAAGCCAGACACTCGTTCTGGGTGCAAGTAGGACTTAACAAGTCTTGAAAACACAAAGCCTTTTATTTTCATATCTTCTGCCAGGATACTCTGCTCCAGTTAGATACATGGGTTCCTGTTTTAAAAGAGCCCTTGATTTCTGCTTCACATTGAAAGGAAAAAAACAATAGGCCTGATTACTACGTATTCGAAGCCTTTTTTTCATTCCGAATACCTCTGCTGAAACTAGAGCAATGCAGAGCGACTTAGCAATGAATTTGCAACACCTTTATGGAGTTCATCCTGGCATTACTGACCTCAGTGGGTGATTTGCCACTTAAGTGGATGGATTTTGCCCAGCTTATGACTTGAGATGTGTTCAGCACAAAATTAAGTTCTTGAGCAAATGAGTTAATGAAAGTACAAGCCGTCCCTTGGAGTTGTGCGCAGTCTTGTGCTTGAGAGACTGCAGAAATGAGTGAAAGGTGGGTGCACATAATAAATTCAGCTTAATGGTTTTGCTTTGATACTGTAATTGGTTAACTTGTTGTCTGTTGGATTATTTAATGCTCCTGGGTAGTCATGTTAAGTGGTAAATATACACATTTTTTGCATGCACCGTTTAAACCTAAGTATAAGAATATACATAAATTTATATACAAATTAAATGCACAAGTTCTTTTAACTCATTGCTCAACAACGTTATTTCATCCATGGAGCTTTTTCTCGTCTCCCGGGACACAACTCACTTAACAAGACAGATCACACTAATGAAGACTCTGCTGGAAAACCGCTACCAGATTAGGAAGGATTTGTTCTACATTATCTCGGGGAGGATGGAAAAGTCTGTCTACAAAGAGTTCCCCACATTCATTAAAAAGAAATTAAACATCTGAAGGAGGAAATACTCAATTAGCTGCCGGATAATAACTTCCTGCATTTTGCCAAGTTTCCAGCCCCACTCCTACAATCCTTCCACATTTAAGCCACTGGGAGCATTGGCTGTCCGGCGAATAAAAGATGAGAGCTCAGACGGACTTTATATTGAGAAGTGACTGTCTAATGCAAGCAGTTTTTTGACGGGCTCTTTGCTGCATGGCAAACTGGTTGCCCTTGTATGCTCAGATGCTAGGAAGAAGCCACAAGACGCCCGCTGGTGAAAGGCAGCCAATCTGCCTGAGCTCTTGCCCGAGGGGCAGGAGAGTTGGAATGCCGCCCTGCAGGAGTGCCCAGGCTGCCAGCGGAGCCCCACGGCCTCCAAAGCAAGGCGGAGAGCGAGGAGACCTTGGGGATGCCCGGCCACGGAAACACTTGCACCCGCGTCCCTCCTCCGCCAGGCTCGCTGACGACCGCCACAACCGATTCTCCGCCGATATCCGCGTGAGCCGCGGGATGAGGAGGGCTGCGGAAGCCAGGGGACAATGTTGATGCAAGGACACGCTGCCTGGGAATACAGTTAGGCAGGAAGTCAAAGGGATATTTTGATGGGAGGAGCAAGGAGTTGAAAAGGATTCTCTGGAGCAGCCTCTCTCTTTGCTGTCAGCTACTTCTAAGGAAACTTGCGGATGTTACTCAGTACTTTCTACCACGTGGCTGTTGCAATAAAAGGAGACTAGAAATTAGGACCTACAAAATCTCATCCATGTTTCTCTCTCACTCTAGAAATAACAGTAAACAAAAGTGCATCACGGAGTACTATCTATGGGCTACTACAATCCCAATCCAAGCAAATTGATTTTTATTAGTAGAATTAGAGATAGCTTTAAATATTTAAATTCTCCTGAAAGGAAAACATGCTATCAGACGAACAGGATCAAATGCCAAACTCCAAATTCACCGTGTACTTTTTTTCTATTATTATTTTGTTTGATTTCCAAGTGTTTTGGAACAAATTTAACAGTCCTCAGCATGGCTCTTAAGTATGTGGAATATGAGAGACTTAGCAGTGCCCACAGTCCAGCTGCAAAAAGAATGCACATCTTTTTTTTGTTGTTGTTTTAACAATGAATTGTTGCTGCAGTGGTATATAACAAGTACCACACTGTGTTTGGGAATACAGGCTAAAATATGTGAGGCCTTTTTTTTTTTTTTCCTCTTTTTTTTTCCCTTTATTTATCAGCTTATTCTGGTCAGAGCAGATTTTCATTCTGCAAATGCCTTCCCAGGACCCAGGAATATGAATACAGGGTTTTGTATACTTAAAGTTCTCCTTTGGGTACCAAGATGGCAGCTCCTCAAACCACACGGTGCTTATAGAATGTCTTTCATCCCAAAATCTCTGGATCTTCCCTTCTGTAAACAGGCATTAAAACACTTGGCATTCTTGTGAGATTGAGGCAGCTCCTTGGTGGCCAGGGGAGTCAGGGCACAGAAATCATCGGAGATCCTCTCCCAGGATCACGCAGTCCCTATTGCCAGCTCCAGGAGGCAGCAGCTTTAGGAGGACTTGGGGCAGGTCAGCTGCCTTCCTGGGTGCAAATCTTTGGCAAGATTTTACAGGCTGGATTTTGCTGTGCGGATGCACTTTGTCCCCTTTCCCCGCTTATCCCGGGGGGAACCCAAGGACTTGCAGAGCCCATGCTAGGGGCTGAAGTGCCCGCGCGGCCTCGCACGACCTACAGCCGTTTGCAGTCACACGCGGAACGATCCGAGGGTTGTCAATCACCGCCTGACCGAATGGAAAGGTGTCTATCTGCAGGGTAAGGGCTTTGTTGTCCCCGCTCTTTATTTACCATTTAAATCAGCAAAATCGGAGAGAGAACACAGTGTAAAGGTGTTTATGTCTGTGTTGCCTCCACCTTTGATCCCAAGGGGTTAGATTATACTACCCTATTCTTTCTTGCCCTCAGGATAAGGGTTGGTTCCTTGATTCTGTTCTCTACTTCTCTCTTCCCACCCACACGTACACTAAGATAAAACCATTCCCTATGGCAGACTGGGACTTCAGTCAAAAACTAATTATAAACAATGACGGCTCGACAGCTTTTTTCAGTTTGTGGTTGTACGAATTTGTGATGCAAACTATCTGGCTTCAGCCCCCCTCCTGGTAGTTTACAGGCCAGCCTGCTTTTGTTGGGCAGCAGCAGAAGGGTGCTGACAGGGGGGACAGGGAGACACAGGGCAACAAAGGAGAGAAGAGATGGAAATAAAAACCAAAGGAGGCCCTTGAGCCTGAAAAATGATACACTTTCTGCCCTCCAGGAGGAGGGCAGCGATAATCATGCTAATAGGGGGAAAAATTGGCATTCTTCACGCGCTTGCCCAATATGACAAAGTAGCAACAGGCTGGGACGGGCCTGGCCTGTCAGCCCTTCCACGGCTTTCTGGTGCAAACGAGGTCAGTGTCTCAGTGGGACATGACACTGTGTAATAGAGCACATATGCCTGACTCCATGCCAGCCACTGTTTCATAATATGATGCATGTCCCAGACCCCCAGTTAAATAAGAACAAGCCACCTCCCCCCGCACACAAACTCCCTTGTCAAAGAGTTAAAGAGATGCTGAGAATTGCTTTTCTTTTGCATCCTGAAGCAGCTTTGACTGAAATAATTACATTTACCAAATAACTGCCACGGTAGGATGAGATTTGTTATGGTACTTCAGCAAACCAAAGCAGTTTGATTTGCTCCACAGCTACTGTGCACAGTAGTTAGTTATTTTTGCTCTCTGGGGTTTAAAACAGGTAACATTTTGCTAAATTCTCATGGCTGATTATCTTCCCTACGGGTTGTAAATCCAACGCAACTCCACCGAACTCTTGTATAAAATCGGTAGGAATAAACATCTGGTCCATAGGGCTAATTCATGCCTCGGTTTCCTACTGGGAGTGAAAAAGCGCAGCCCTTCCTGGTGCGTCTGTAATTACAAAGCAGGAGTCACCACGGTAAATATTGTCTGACAAGTCCTCTTTGTACCACTGGCACTGGGGGAAGTGGTGACATACGATCGCTGCATCTGTCACCAGGCCTCCCCACGCAGAACTGGAGTGGCGAGAGCGTGGTTAGCACTGCAGGCA